TGATAAAAATTGTTTAAAAGTAGGTATTTTTTGCAAAAAAGGAATGCTAATTGAATAAAAAAATATAAGAAATTAGTAAAATTATTGCCTAAATATTAATTTAAATACATTTTAATATCAGGAAAATAAAATTAATATTCATTTTTGGTTCTTACATTCATATAAACAATTAACAGTTAAAAATTTTATTACTTAAATTTTAAATATTCAAATAAGAAAAATATTATTCCTATATATAAACGTATTATAAATACTCTATTGTATTCTATAGATGTTAATCATTTAAGATTTTTCTAAAGATATTTATTATCTCTTTAAAATGTTCTTGAAATTTTTTATATACCTCGTAATTCTCTTTTAGCTTTTCAGCAAATTTCATTCTTTTTTCTAATAATTCGGTATTTGATTTCAAAGTTTTTGAGTCTACTTCTTGGTCTATAAATTCGTTATATATTTTAGCAAGTTCTTGGATGGTATTTTTATAATAAAAATTCAAATTTATAATTTCAAAATAATACATATCTAGAATTGAATGTATCTTTTTGATTTTTTTTATCATTTTGTAAATCATCCTTTATAAATGGATTATTCTAAATAAAGATTTTAATTCTTCATCTGTTGAAAAGAAAATATTACGTTTGGAAAATCGGAATTAATGTCTAAAATAGTAGATAGCATTTATGAATATCTAATTTCAACATCTAGAACAAAGGGATATTCTTCCGATAATGTAAAAAAATATAATTGATATAATTCTCTACTATTCTTATCCCTATTAAATGTATTCTTTATATTTTTAAAATAAGGTTTAAAATAATTCTTGGGGTCAGCATTTTTTTTATATTTATATATGTGTATTCAACCCTAAGCTTATTTTTATGTGAACAAATAACTAAGGAAAATATTAGCATAAAAGATTCAAGATAAGTTTCATAATAATACCTCACGGGTTAATATGATTGGATTTTAATATATAAAACGGTGATAAAAAATGTATTGTAAAGATAATTTAAATCTTTTTATATCATTATTTTTTTTTGATAAGCAACAAAATTCTAAAATAATTGGTCAAATATTATATTTACTTAATATTTTTTTATATGAAACATATCTCTTTTTATTAAAAAATACAATTATTAGTTACATCCTACTTTGGAAATCAATTTGAATTATAGTTGATAATTATATTAAAATTAAAGGAAATTGCAAAAGTAAATCAATGGGATAAAAATTATCAAAATTTTCATTTACAAATGTGTTAATTTATCACATAAGTAATGTATTTGAGGTTGGATTAAACTTTAAACTTTTATTGCAATTTTAAATTAGATTTTATAAACTTAGTTAATTTTAATATCAGAATGTAAGTATATAAGGTTTCATTTAATATAATATAATCCTTATGAACTATTACTTTAAACATAAAAATTTTATATAAAGCTATTCATTGTATCTGAAATAATGAATAGCATTTGTAACCAATACAATCATCGCAGCTACAGAAAATCAAGAAAATCCCATTATGTTTCTTAATAAATAATGGTTTACTGAATGAAAGAAAATACAAGGATTGTTTGGAAAAGAATTAAGTATTGTTAATAAAAACAAACTATGATATAAGGTTTCTCAAATGTAACACAAAGATTTTTATTTAAATATACAAAATTTATAATTAAAAAAAGTAACTGAAATTTTAGATCATATATAATTTCGGGCATCTTATTTTACCCAAATTTCAAAAGCCAAAGAGTAATTCAAAAAGCTATAACACTGTTTTTAAATTTTACAAATATTGTCAAATAAGTATTATATATATTAAAACCGAAAGTCAGAAACAAGGTTGGAAGAATATTCACGTCGTTGAAATTGACAATACATAATTTCTAAACATTAGTGTTGGTCGTGATGTTAGCTCTCATTGTATAGTTAATGATATCAATGATACAAAGAATCAAATACTCCTATTTAAGTTTTTAGGAGTGATAGAGAAATTCAAAAAAAAAGCCTCTAAAATTGCTATTGAAGTTGCGATTTTGTTATTAATTGCTGTCTTGGATGTATCAATATAAATGCATTAGGATATAAGAACTAAATGTTAGTTTCATGATCTTTTGTCAATTCTAGAATTGTAGATAACACACAAGGGATCGATATAAGTGAGGTATGACCAAACGAAATATATGTAAAATATACAATATCACATCAGACTAGAGTTTCATGTTATTAGAATCTTTACTCAAAGTTTTTTATAGAGTAAATATTTGTGAAAAGAGAATTACAAATTCAAATAAATTATGATTAAAAACTTCTAAATTTATAAAAACATGACAACTGAGATTAAACTTATCTACAAAGTAGGAAAATACTTAATTTATGAGTATAAAATTATATGGAAAAAATCTTTTTAACTTTAAATATTAATGAAAAGATAATTAAATTTCAAATGAAATTTTTTAATTTTTAGAATTAAAGAGATCTCATATTTGTTACATACTAATTATTTAACTGATTTAAGTAAAAAAGTATATTTTTTTGATAAATTTATAAATACTGAGACAAATACAGAGATGAAATGAAACAGAAGTACTAAGATAATTTATCTTAATAACATATCGGATTGCCGATAAACCTTATGTATGTGTACTCCAGATATATAAGCCTTGTTTCATTCCTCGTAAGATAAAAAAATTTGATTTGAATGCTAAGAAGCTTTACTAATTAATTTTCTACTTTTTGAAAAATCTTTCTGCTTGTAATTTAAATTTTATTGTGAGCAAATAGTCTTTTAAAAGTTTAATTTATTATATTTAATGATTTTCTATAACGATATCAATAAAAGGAAAATATTAAAGGATCAATCTTAATCTTATAGATATAATAGAAGTCTATAGAATAAAGCGATATTAGCAAAAGTTAATTATTTTTTACAAATAAATCTAAAATATACTAGGAAAAGAGATTTTGCTGAAAATGCTCTGGTTTTCTATGTTTTGTTTTTATTTTTCAATAAAAGAAGTAAATTTTCTAATATTAACTACTTCTTGGTAATTTTATTAAATATATTTTCTTAATTAAATAAATATCTTATAAGAATTTAATGTCTAATAATTTGAAGGATTATATCTTCTACTATTTGTTTTTTTTATAGTCATTTTTAAATGAACTTTTTTTAACTTTTGCATTTGTGGAGCAGTTGGGTTACTATCAAACTCATTTTAAAAAATTTAAAAGTAATTAAATTTATATTGCAAGGTAAAAATAAATTTTCTCTCCTATTTGATTTTAGACCATAATTATATTAAAAAAAATCATATTGACTTTTCCTTCAAAAGATTTAAAGAATATGCTTCAATGACTATCTTTTCTAACAAATACTATCTACTTTCGATTTTTGTGTGTGAATATTGAGATCATCGGAATAGAAAATATTTTATGTTTTAAAATTGTATGGAGAAATACACACGAAGATAATTGATAATAATCCTTATATTTATCAAAATATGTTAACATATTCTTTTATTGTTTTTTAGAATAAATTTATTGCAAATATGGGTATTCTTTGATTTAAAATAGATAGTTTAATTCTGTAAATCTTGTGTATATGATTCTTGGAACCAATATTATTTAGCAGGTTAAATCTTGCCTCTTGAATCTCTTCTACTTATCATATGTGTTTTAGACTTCAATTTTATTATTTTTACTACTGAATTGTCTGTTCTTTTTATATTTTCTTGATCTATATTGCAAAATAATTTTTTATTAAATATAGTTAAATATTTTTTTCGAATTCCTAGTTAATACAATTAATGTTATGATAAACTTAGAACCTATAAATAAATACTTGAAAAATTGACGAACTCCATAAAAATTCCTAATAATATACATTTTTTAAATAAAATTGTCGTATCCTAGGGGATACCGAACAAGAAGTACATAATTTAAGTAAAAAATTTACTTGAGAGTTTTTATTCAATGTGTAGTGCTATTTTGTTTGGGCATAGCAGGCATAGGATTCAAGATTTTATTTAGAATATTAAGTATAAATATATTAATAAAGAAATGAAAGCTTTGGTATTGGTTGTAATAATTATATATGATTTTTACTGTTTGTATTTTTTTCCTTTAAATATTTGTAAGGTAAAAGATCGTTTTGTAGGTAATTTTCGACTATTGATAATTTACCTTTTAAAACCTTGTTATTCCTGTCCACTACCATAAATTTAATATATATATTTATACTTTTAATTTGGAAGGAATTTTGGAGGGATATTTTACAAAATTTAATATCTCTGAAAAATAATAATCAGATCAAGAATATAATATCCCTTCAATTCCATATATGCTTCGTTGTTTCTTTTTCAATTGTCATATTTTCTCTACAGATACATACCAAAAATTCTTTAGTATGTAATATAAACATTTTTCATAAATTTATATGATTTCTGTGAATAGATTATATTTAAATTACATATAGCATTTCATATTGGATTAAAATGATAGAAAAATGTATTCAATCGGAATCACAATGCCCCAATCATATATCTATTATTTATTTTTTGAGTAGATTATATTAATTAAATCAATTTTCTTCAAATTTCTTTTTTATTATTGTAATATCTTACAAAATACAAATAATAATAAATTAAGAAATTAATTTATTTATTTATTCTAGGGAACCCTTAGAATGAAGGAAGTAAATAAACGTTACTTTAAAAGCTTTTACTTAAATCATCTCTTATATAAAGTTCACCTCCGTGAACATGACAATTATATTATTTATAATTTAAATTTGCTCTAAGTCTAATCTAAACCGAAAAAAAAATTATTTAAAAAGTTTTTTAAACAAGAATGGTTCATAGAATTTTATTAAATAACTATAAAAATACTCTCAAACAAATATATTCCATGTTTTATTTTCACAATTCTCCCCATTAACTATCCATGAAGAATTAAAATTCAAACGAAAATATATAAAAAATATGTATCCTTATAGACAAAATAGGTCTTACCGAGATTCGAACTCGGGTTTTGAGAATCAGAATCTCAAGTGATAACCACTACACCATAAGACCACAAGCCAGTAAATTTGTCAAACATACAGTAATTAAAGTGAAGCATTTTTTAAACAATATTTACCAAGAAAGAAATCTAAATATTTTTTCATTTACTTTGCATAAACTTCAAAATAAAAAGTAGTGAAACTTTGAAGTTTAGAATATATTAAAATTTTATCCAAAATATTAGGATAAGTGGATGTTTGGGTAATTTTTTTTAAATTAATATTAATCATATAAAAAATTAATTTAATTTAAATATATTTTTTTATATTTATAAAAACTTTTATAGAAAAAGTATAAGTAAAAATAATTTAATTAATTCTTGAATTAATAATTCCTTCTTTTACTTTATTGAATAAGTTATATTTAAACCTATCAAAGTCAGTTAATAAAGAAATGTTTTGTTCAGGAACAAATACTTGTGCAACATCTTTAACACTAGAATTTTCTTTAATTTCTACTACTTTTTCTGTGAGCTTTAGCCTTTAAGATTCGAACCTGCCACCAGAAAGACTCACCAGCCGAAAATATTTTATGTTTTACAATTGTATGGAGAAATACACACGAAGATAATTGATAATAATCCTTATATTTATCAAAATATGTTAAAATATTCTTTTATTGTTTTTTAGAATAAATTTATTGCAAATATGGGTATTCTTTGATTTAAAATAGATAGTTTAATTCTGTAAATCTTGTGTATATGATTCTTGGA